TACTTTATTTCAAATGAACACTTTGGCATATGGAGACAACCCTGGGAGAAGTTGATGGGACATCTTCAGCTAGGTAGGTGACACAGCACTGTGCCAAGTGCATATTAAAACTAACCTCATTTTTATCCTGAAGTACAGAAAACATACTGCTCTGGTAAGATAAGTCAGATGTGATGTATCAATACTTCACCCTAAAGAATGAATACCAGGGGCCAGCGAGGTAGCTCAGCAGACTAAGCACCTGTTTTGGTAAGCACGGGAACCGGGTCCAATCCCTGGTCCCACATGCTGCACTGGCCCTGCCTCCAGGGGGAGCAGAGCTGGTGAACAAGTCTGGGTGCAGGCCTGTAATCCCAGCTCTGGGAACAATGAAAACAGGAGGATCAGTGCGAGTCTGAGCTGCATAGTGAGACCCTGTACCAAATACATAAATGAAGAAAAAAAAATGAATACCAGAGCACATACTGATGGCGAATGGGTTTTGGAATAGTCTCCTACCACGGTGTCTGGCTAAACACTAGTCACGCCTTGAAGTGGTATGGGTCCTGTGGGTTTTGCCTCTTACTTTTGTTACCTTGAGGCACATAATACATTTGTACCAAATTTGGCATTCTCTTTCTTTCTTTCTTTCTTTCTTTTTAATGTATGTATTTGATGCAGGGTCTCACCACACACCTTGGACTTATAGTGATCCTCCTGTTTTTAGTCTCCCCAGCGCTGGGATTATAGGCATGCAGGACCATACCAGGTCTTAGTGGCTGGCTCAGTGCACCCAGGGGCAGGGCTGGTGTGGCATGTGGATTGAACCCCAGTGCCTGTACTTTCCTAAGCAGGTGCTTAGTCAGCTGAGCTATCTTGCTGGCCCAGCATTCACTTTCAATTGCTGCTGGTAAGGTGTGTTTTGAGAAATATGCACAGTATAAAAATTTGAAAATACTAATAGATGGAAAATGTTTAGGAAATATAGGTATTTTCATCCAGTTTTCTACAGTCTCATGTAGTTTGTTTCTGCAAAACAAACCTCTGTTCTAAGAGAGAACATGTTGACTGGTCTTAGCATATTTCATTTGTCCTTTCTCATATTATATTATTTGCTCAATTCTTTTTTGTGCGTAAACAACATGCCAGGTAAAATGAAAATGATCTCCCATGTGTTAAAAAAAAGTCTGGATTTTGCTGGGCATGGTGGCACTCCTGCAATCCCAGCACTGGGGAGACTGAGGCAGGAGGGTCATTGGGAATTCCAGACCAGCCTGGACTACAATGTGAGCTCAAGGCCGGCCTGAAGTGCACACTGAGACTCTGTCTCAAAAAGAAAAAAAAGTCTAGATTTTTAAAAACTGAGAACTGATAAAATCCTTAGTAAAGGACACTATCTGATTCAAGTAAAAAAAAAAAAAAAAAAAAAAGACTTAAACACTGCTAATAAAACACAGGAACACAGAGAGGAATGTGCATGTCTCAGGAGGCTGCTGTAGGTCCTGGGCGCACATGCAGGGGTGCCTTCAGCACAGAGGGCCTTGGTGGGGGAGCCCCATGGGCTGTTCATGGACTCTAGCTGCTTGTTGGGCAGGAGCTCCTACTGCAGTCCAGGAACTCTTCCCTGCTTCCTCTCTCCCCAAGCTTTGGGTCCTTGCTGGGCTCAGATTCTAGGTCAGTGTCCTCTGTCCTGCTAAAGATCTTGCCCAAATAATTCGTACATTTTCCTACCCGACCTGCTAGTCCTTCCTGACTTCACAGCAGGACCCTTTGATGAGGTCCTGGGATGACTGGTACAGCGCTTCCAGCCGAGCCACGTTGGCCAGGCTTCTCTCTGCTCCTCTCGGCTTACTGAGCTGGAGGTCAAGTTTCTCAGTTCTAGCTGAGACACAGAACTATTCAGGTCACTTCATTTGTCCACAACAGAAGTGGGCACATGCTGTGCACTGAACTGAATGCGTCCCACCATAAAGAAATCAAAATCAAACTCTTGATTCTTTTCCCTGTCCTTTTCCGCCAGCTGCCAGGACACTTCCTCGAGAGCTGCCTGCGCCTTGCTAACTGCTCCTCTCTCAGTTTGACTTGCATAGCATATTTCTCTTTGCTTTGTTGTTTCCAGTTGGAAAGATCTGTGATAAGTTTGGGCTCATAGTAATGGTTAACTTCACTCTCCCTCCAAGCCAAGTTCCCTGAGTGTGACAGTGGCCTCGTTTTGTAGCTACAGGGGTGGTGGCACTCCAGGTCACAGTCCTTGTTTTCACTGTGATCTGGGCACTTCTGCAAGGCTCAGTGGAGCAACTGGTACCAAAAGCAGGACCTAGGGCTCAGTGGTATAAAAAAAAAAAGCAAGATCTTCCAGGTCCCTACCCAAGTAGTTAGAGTATCCACTTGTCCTTGTTTGTCAGTGACATCAGACAGAATTCAAGGGTCAAGCTGAACTTCACTGATATCATAGTTGCTATGCATGTGCTGATCATGTGCAAAAAACCAACCATCACAGTATCTTTCCCAGTTATGAATGTGACCCTGATTTTCACCCTGGAGCACGATACCATCATTATCCTCCGTGTGGAAATGATAGGTGGAGATGGGCTCGTCCACTAGAAAAGCAGGGATGCTCGTGTGTGGGTGACTCATAGGTTGAGTGTGAGCGCCCACCCAGGGAAGCCCAGTGTGGGGGGTCCTCACGGCTCTCCACTTAGTTCACAGTGCTGCACACTCATGCGTAGCTTGGATCTGGGAGGGGAGTTGGGAGCAAACGGGGTCAGAGCCAGGAAAACAGGAGCCCTTCTGGGCTCAGGAAGAGATGCAGAAGAGCAGAGAACAAGCCCTCACCTGAGGGCCAGATCAGAAAAAGGGAGGAAAGAACAGAAGGTTTGAGTTCTCCTTATACTGTGTGCAGATTGTGCATGTGAAAGGCCACACCCAATCTAATTGTGTTTTGTATGTTGACTATAACTTGTTTTTTTAAAAAGTGGACATCAGGTCTCACATAGTGGTGCCTGCCTATAATACCAGGACTCGGGAGGCTGAGGCAGGAGGATCACTGTGAGTTTGTAGCCAGCCTGGGCTACACAATGAGACTCTGTCTCAAGATAAAACCAAACATCATGTGATTGACACAGGGTCTGGACACATCTGCGGTGAAACAGACCTGGCCTGAGGGCGGGAGGAAGAAAGCAACCTCCCAGGCAACTGGGCCACTTCCTACCCCGGGCTCCTCTGCTACCCTATGTGCTTTCTAGTCACCTTTTGTCCCATTGAAGGGGTGGAAGTTCCTAGAAAGGACACGCACTAGGCCAAGTCACAGTGGCTCAGACAGCAGCAAAAACAACAGACAAACACACAAGGTGAAGAAATAGAGCCAGTCTGCAGGTTTCCCTTCCATGCCGCTCCCAGGTGCCCCTCCCTACCATGCCAACCCCATTCCTATCTGCTTCCCTCTGGCTTGAGAGACGCTTATTCACACAACTTCACACTGAGGAGGCCCCAGGCTTGAGGAAACTCCCTAGGCCATGTGGGCAGCATGCATGAACACACACACACGCACACACGCACACACACACGCACACCCACGGGTGAGTTCGATACCAAGAGCCTTGTGTTAATGCTATTAAGAGATAAGAAACTTAATCTTCCTATGGCACTTAGAGGTGGAGTTCTGGAGGAGTGATTAGACTAGATTAAGTTGCTAGGGTGCGTCCCTATGATTGAATCCTGGTGGCTTGAGAGAGAGAGAGAACGCACAGGTGGAGATCCACGTGACACGTGACACAGCTCAGATCTGACTTCGGCAGAGCCTGTTCCACACTGTTTGGGCCTTGAATGATGGAGCTAAAATAAGCTCCTTTTCCTCATAAAGGAGCCTGTCCTGAGTGTTTTGTCATAGTAGTGAAAAGTTGACTAATGCAGCAGTTGATTTTACTTATAAAGCAGGACATGAAAACTTGACTTCTACTGTGATGGCAATTTTTTAAAAAATTAAAAATCAGCCAGCAGTCTGACACAATATTAGGACAATATGAGGTGGTGCGGCCCACCACGTAGCCCGTCTGGTAGACTCACCCAGTCTCGAATGACCACACCATGCTTCAAGGACTTTCTACACAGCAACAAAGAATAACTGATTCTAGCCAATAAAAATCCACGCTTTTAAGCTTTTGTACTTCCTGCCTACAAATCTGCAAACCTATATGAACATAAACAAAGCCCACAGCTGCTCTAGGCTGGGGCTCTGGGACCAATCCCCATCAGCCTGCCTGCATCATAAATCCAGCCCCCTTCCTATTCCTTGGTGTGGTGTTTTCCATTCAGTTTGCTCAATACCTGTTCCGCGACACTACGAGTACTTGAATATGATTCCTATACTAGGTAATATAGTAATTAGTGTATTCATGTTATTAAAATAATATATATTGTATTAATGTAATCACATATATATTTTACCACTAGTATATTAATGTAGGACATATAAATGTATGGTAATATACAACATGTTCATGTGCAGCACATATATTAATAACATAGAAGCCATATATCCATCTGTAACTGGCTCCGAATGCAAAGTAGGGGTTCAAGCCAGGTTTGAAGATCAGTCTTGTGGTTCCCAGGACAGAGGTTGCTGGGCATCTGGTCCAGATCCGCAACTGTCTGTATGAAGGGTACAGCGAAAGGTGAGGTAAGAGGCAGAGGCACTTTAGTAACGTGTAACGGGGCGAAGAGTTCAGTACCTCAGGGTGGGCAAAGAGACTCTCTGGCTCACCACTGTTTTACTAGCCAGTGTGTAGGGAGCAGTAGTGAGTGACTCTAGAGTAGTAGCGGTGGCTACAGTGGGCTGGTAACAGAACAAAGCATTCTTGCAGGGGTGAGACCAGGGCCAATAGCGGAACCACTTTTCCCCAGGGGAAGCTTTGACCATTGCTCCACAGTGCTTTACCTCGCCCTGTGAGCGCTGTGATGTCATAAGCTGTAGGGCTCCGGCTGTGCCAAGAGAGAATGGAGAGATTCCGAGTTCCAGCCCAGCCTACAGAGCAGGACACAGACAGCCTAGACAGCCCCTAGACTCACTTTATAACCTGTGGTCCTCAACAACTGGTAACTAAGACAGTCTCACTAAAATTGGAAGAGGAGGCCCCAAAGCAAGATATGGCGAGAAATCATTGTCCATCTTGTCTTCCTGCTATTTTTTAAAAGGGGGGAAAATAGCATTGGAGCCACAAGTTCAGTTTCTTCTGTAAAAGCAGAGGCTCGTCTGGGCTTCCATTCCCAGGATGGCCATTGGCTGGAGCTGGGAGGCAGCTGTCCTTTAAGACCAGATGGGTTCTAGCCTGTCACCCAGTCCCCAAGAGTCCCTGCTGATGCCCTGACCTGGGGGGAGCTGTCACTTAACCTTGTGCTCAGACATTTGTCACAAGCTTTGATGACCTGTGTGCCTTCACAGATAGGCCTTTGTCTCCGCTGGCATCCCTCAGAAGCCTTTGCTCTGTAGCAAAGCGAAACCCCTACAGGAAAGTAACAAGCCATCATGGAGAGCTTGTGTTCAGGTATGAGAGAATCCCTAGGGAGTTTGGGGGGACTTCCTCTGGGATTGCCATAGTGTCCCTCATCATGCCCATATACATAACTGCATAGTCTATGTACTATCAAATCTAACCTAGGAACTGTTCTGCATGTGAAAGGCTGTGTTTTTCTATTTTCCTTAAGTCATTTAACTTAATTTTAATTAAATTTAACTAAATGTAACAAATAGAACCAGCCACAAGTTGTCACCTATTTTCAAGCTGAATGCAGAGTTGATCATTGGGTAGTAATGATTTCTCTCTCGTGTTTACAAGTTTTAACATGGCCCAGAAAAACTGAACCTGTTTTGGGAGAGGTGGTTATTTATAACAACAACAACAACACCAAAAGCTGTTTCTGGACCTACATGTAGGGCTATTTAGGGAATAACTATGTTTGCATAGTAAATTTTTTTTTTTTTTGGGTGGAAAGTTGTTTTTGCAAAAGACACACAGTGTTTTCACACTTCTGCATCTCTGTTGGCAAAATGAAATGCCATTAAGAAGTGAAAGCCAGCAACTTCAGCTTCAATGCTGAGAGCTTCAGTGTATAAGAAGTTGATGAACTCTTCAAACACCAGGACCAGCGCAGCGCCTTCCAGACGCTGGGAGAGACTGTGTTTTTCTTAGGATCCAAGATGGTTCATCCAGCCTTGCTTCCCTGAGAGACGAAGGGGAGAGCCACGGGGCTACTTTTCCTCTGCATTTCTCCTTTCACGCATGGATCAAATAATTAAAAGTATCCACTAAGCACTCATGTGCTAGGGCTCATTGGCACCATCCTCCAGGTATAGATCGTGTAAGACCCCAGACGGAAAAGAAAGCAAAAGCCGCGCCAAGTGGCAGAAAGGGCCGAGCGAGCTGTGAGGCCTGCAGGGGCTGCTGCCCCAGAGTGAGTCAGTGCCGCTCAGCCCTCACCATGAACTTGGTTTCAGCATGCAGCCTCACCATGGCTGTCTCCTTCGTCTCTTGCTACACCTCTCCTGTCCTCCGTCTCCTCCTCTCCTGTCCCTTCAAGTGCAGCAGGCACACTCCGAACGTTGAGTTCTAGTCTTAGTGGCTCTTGCAGTGACGTGACCTTGACCAACCTGCTCTGTGCCGCTGTGGGTAATCGTTGCCTCTAATGTAAAAGAAGGTACTTGACCAGAGAGGCTTTCAGGTGCTTTCTGGCTTTAAGAGTCCTCAGTTCTAGGCCTCAACTGTTGGCAAGCTTTTTAGCTCTCTTATGTAATGATTTTCCCTGAGGCCACAGTGATGTGGAATGTAGCCTGTGTCTAAAATGACCAGCACATAAGTAAAATACACATCTGAAAGCTTTCCCACAATTTTTTTTTTCAGAACCGGGGATTGAACTCAGATCCTTGCGTTTGCCAGTCAAGCGCTTATCCTACTGAGCCATCTCCCCGGCCCTGCTTTCCCATAACTGTATTCAGTTCCTGCAAAACTCCTTGCACTCTTATTTTAACCTTTGCAGTGGCTGGACATAGCCAGCATCACAATTAAGAACATAGACTCCAGCATATTGTCCAAGCCGAGTCCCAGCTCTGCTCCTGCCTAGTTGAGCAAATTCACCTAAATTGCATATTTAGCTTCTCTTGCCTAAGTTTTCTTATCTGTAAAACAGGAGAAACAAGAGCCCCTAACCTCTTAGGTTGTAAAAATGAACTGAATTAACATGTTTAACATTTTCAGTATGGTACTTGGTAAAGTTAAACACAGCGAGCTTTGCTATTATTTTATTTTCATCTACAGTTATAGGAACACAGGCAGAGGCCCCAGGAATGGTTAGAAAGATGCAAAGGGAGCACTCAGTAAGAGGACACAGGCAGCGATGGGGGAGATTCATAAGTCACCAAATGCATCCCCCTTTCCTCGCTTGGAATACGTCTTAGTTTAAAAACAAAACCAGAAAGCCTTCACACCACTGTGCAGGAGCTTAGCTTACACTCGCTGTCTTTGCCTCCTTCCACCCACTCATCTTTGACTAATTGTCACATGGCCTTTAAAGCCAATGCTGTGTCGCGGTGTGGGTCCCAAGAGGATGACCAGCGACTGGATTGAGGAAACTTCATTGCGTCTATGTCCCCTCCATAGCTCTTCACCGTGTCATGTCACCTGACCCTTCTTTTGCGTTCTCATGTTCCTTTCCCACTCTACCGGAGAGAAGCATGTGACGCGCATCTCCCAACATCTGCGCCAGCGGGGCCAGCCTTGACACCCTCCTCCTCCTGCCGGGGCCCTTTAAGTGATCGCTGCTTTGGTTTGACACCAACCCTGACCCGGGCTCAAAATCTCAAGGGCAGATCAGCCTCCTTGTCTCCACCTCCTCAACAGACTTAGTCCTTTTGCCCACAGTGGGGCTGCCCCCAGATCTCCTGACCCACCTAGATCATGTGCCAAAGAGCTCAGGATTCTCATTATTTACTGAGCATGGTCCCAATGGGTTCTGTTAGCATTGATGCTTTTTGTACTGTGGAAAAAACCAACACAAAAGAACCAGCCCCTGACCCCGACTCTCTGCAATCACATTTCTTGAACCTTGGAAACAATAAAGAGCTGCGTGCAAATGTGGGTATCACACTGCGCTTGGACCCAGCACAAGGAAAAAACCGGTTAGTAAATGATTGTTGATCAGGAAAGCAATATGATACACAATCAAGTAATGACTGTCATGAATACTAACGTCCATGGGAAGACATTCCCTAAACACCTGTTCCCTGCAGAGGCGGGATGATGACTTTTGTGCTTGAGAGAGGAGGAAATTGGCACGTGGATTTTTTTTTTTTTTTTTTTTTTTTTGGTGGAACCGGGGATTGAACTCAGGCCCTTGCACTTGCCAGGGAAGCGCTTATTCCACTGAGCCATCCCCCCGGCCCCTAGCACGTGGACTTTTAAAACCATGAAATAGAAGCATTCATCTGTAGAAATTATTCCAAGTTCCTACATGGGCAGCATGTTCCCTAAGGTAAATGTCTTTTTACAGGAGGACAATAAAATAATAAAACATACAAATCATAAGGATGATAAGGGAGTATATTTTTTCTACTATTATCAGATTTTTCTAGTCAGAGTCTAGTTTTCATTTGAGGCAAATTCTTTTAGGCCTTTTCCCAATACAATTCCAATTTATTTTTCTATTAGCAAGGAAAGGTTCTTATATATTTTTTCCCTTATAAGCCCAGAGTGTCAAATTCACATCGTGTTACAGGTTCCAGAGTCCGACTCCCCAATACCTCCAAACAGCACCTTCTCTGTGATTGTTGAGTAAGCACATAAAGGTGCTGGTGAGGTAGGATTCAGGTTAGAAAGTTAGAAAAATAATAAAAAGTAATACTGTGTAAGTAGTTCCGATATATGCTAAGAGAGGATTTAGGCGAGAGATCTGATCTTTTATAGTATGTTGGCTTTTGGTAAAATGAATGCAACAGAAGGATTACAATCACACTTACTAGAAATAGATCCCATCTTGTCCTCTACATAATAGGTGTAGACCCTGCGCTGGCAAGTCGTGCACGTATCAGACCCGGGCCTCTGAGGACCACTAGCTGCCTTGATTTCTTTCAAGTGTGCCTTCTCTACTGCGCTCCTTGTCTGAAGTTTGAGTTTAAAATGAAATTAAGTACAGTTGGCTACTTTCTTTTAATAGGTGGCAGGAATATGGAATAACAAGACGTGACACACCCACGGGCAAATCAACAGATGCGTGTGCGCCTGTGATTCTGGAATGTTTTTATTGTTTGCATTAGAAACTGCGTATGTGATATTATAAGAGCTTGCAGTTCTTTGGGGGTGAGAGCAAATGAAGCCCAACTGGGAGGCGCAGACTCCTTTCCCTGACTCCCAAGCCCCTCGACACCGTTCACCCAGCACAGTCCTGTGGTGTCACATCCTGAGAAGAACAGGAATACAAGCAGCCTTGTCCAGATAAATTCAGGTCCAGCTGTCCCTGTCCTATGGCAGTAAGTGGCCCACAGCAGCTCAGTTCCAGGAATGGCTCTGTGGCTGCCTCCCTGTGTCCTCCTTTCTCTTCGGTCACCGTTGCTTCTCCGTGCTTTGGCTCACATCTGCCACCCCCACTTGTCTCTCTGCCTGCAGCTTCCCCTGGCTTCTCCCTCTGCCTCCTCCACCCTCGGTTTCTGCTTTTGCTCAGGCAGTGAATGAGACTATGTGACTCCATCTCAGAAGCCATCAGAAGTGAGAGCTGATGAGTTCTGCAGGTCCCAGTTCCACTGACCTCTTCCCCGTGGAGAAGCATCCAAGTGTCAGGGCTTTGCGTCATTCTCTTGTGGATAGTCACACCGCTCTCACAAAGACAACTCTGATCTTCTGACCATGTGTCTGTGTATACGGATTAATAACGGGAAAGTAACGATCAATAAATGTGCTCCTCTGGTACATGAACGCTTCTGATAATGGAGACTGTTGGAGGAAAAGCAACAGGAACAAAGTGTTCTTGGTGATGAAAGGATGGAGCAACTGTTGTGCTGGTGAAATAAGTCCACGTCAGAAATTGGGGTGAGCTGCCAGCAGAAGGCTGTGCCCCAGAAGGAGCAGGAACCAGCCGGTGCAGGCTCAGGTTCTCAGGCAAAGAGGCATCGGGGTTGTGTTCAGTTGCGCTCCGGTCCTGTCCTGCACACATCTCTTAAAATGGTTCTTCTGCTCCAAAATGTGAGAAGGACTTGCTGCTAGCACTGTCACCTTCAGGGTGGCATCTGACATGGCTCTTCCATTCTATTTCCATAAGGTGACAGGGGCAAGTCACTTTCCTGATGCTCATCCTTTTTTTTTTTCTTTTCAGTACCAGGGATTGAACTTGGGACCTTGTGCTTGCCGGGCAGGAGCTTATGCCACTGAGCCATCTCCCCAGTCCTGATGTTCATCTTCAAGGAGCATTCGTTAAGTATGTAAAGCAAATTGCTATCAAAAAGGCTTTAAAAATAAACTTTATAAAAGTAGATTCACCATGTACTGTTATTTTGGAAGAT